AAAATAATTTAATTAATTCAATATAAAAAATAAAAAAATTATTTAGTTTCGATTCTTATTCGGTTCTTCGGTTCTTGGTCTAGACCCGAGACCCGACCCAAACCCATCGGTTCTCGATTCGGGTACCCGTTCGGGTATTTAATTTTTGAAGAACCGCTCGGTTCGGTCCGGTTCGGTTCGGGACTTTTGGACACCCCTAGAAAATCTCTCTATTTTTTTTATTATTATTATTTCTTGCTAAAATGGAGAATTCGTTACAAAAATAAATCTCAAAAGATTTCAATAATTTTTGAAAAGATACGAAGTATTTCTGTAATAGCCATAACTTCGTGTATTTCCACTTTCTTGTTTTTGGTTTACAAATAGAAAAAAATTGTTGTAATTGATGTACATGTGATAGATCTTCGAGTAATTGATGTTTATGCGATACTAGAAATTCTAATGCAATTTGTAAAATCGTGCATTGATAAACAAAATTTAAATTCATTAAATTTCAAAAATAACTTAAGCTCAATAAAACAATTTGGCTCGCTCAAGGCTCAAAGTTACTAGTAATTGTCTAATAAAGCAAAATGATTTTTCATTCCTGTAGAAGTAACACATCAATCACACAAGTTTTAGCCTTTACCACCAAACTTTAAATATTCAAAAGCAATGTTTACACGAAAGAGACTTGTTTGTTGAAATAAATAAGAATATAATCAAATTCTTATCGCGTACAAGGAAAATGAATCAAAAATTGCATGGCACATCAATTTTCGGAATAATATTAGAAATCTGCATTACAAGTAGAACTACTATCCAGGGACAGTCATGCACCCCTGAAAGAATAAGGGAAAGTAGCTTTAAAAAAGCCACAACTCATGAACAAAAATGGAGGAAAAAATACGTCTCCAAATGGCTAAATACCTTTATGTATGGAATTATCAAGTGTCTAAAAATACAAAAAATAAAAAAAAAATCATGGATTGGTTAGCATGCTATTCAGGAAGAGTGCTTGCAACAAGTGAGCACACAATCCTCCAAAAAATTGGTGAGCTGAGAAGAATACAATTTGGGGTCATTCCGAAAATGATCGACGTGGGGAGTCGAAATGAAGTTACAAGCTCTGACCTCACGTCCACTCCTCCGTTGCTTCTCTATGAAGGACTCGACGGACCCTGCAGGAATAACTTTGTCGGCAGAGCTATAAATGTATAGCTGCGGACAGCTTGGTTGCTGGAGTGTTAATACACTCAACACATCAGAAAGCCTCCTGCAATATGAGAAATTATAATTAACACAATGTCAAGGTAAAAAGGATGACAAAACATAAATCATGTCAAATCTAATGTTTCGGTTCTGATAATTTCATTGCTGTTGTGCGAAAAAGTTGTATGAGGTATTCTAGTTTGACCACTGGCTTATTTTAAAAACAAGGGTGTGTGCATCCATGTATTTCTGTCTAAGCTTTCATCACGTTCAGCCTAAATGAATTGGAGAAGTGTGACATCTTCTGTAAATACCAGGTATAAATAACTTTGGGAGCATAACTGTTAGTTAAGCAAGTTGGGAATAATGACAGAAGAATTTTAGTCTCTAATGGAAAGCTTCTTTACCTATTTACTGAAGGATAATTCAGAACCACCCCGAAGAACTTCTCGAGAACAAGTAGAAGAGCCGCTTCAGTTAATGCAGGCTTAGCTTCAACAGCATTTCTAGTTCCAACTGTTGCCTCTGCATCTGCTTCACTTAAGCTCGTGAAAGCTTTAGTTGCAACGCTATGCTTCTTCAAAAATGCAGCAGAAAATCCAGATGCCCAGACCTAGAAGCATGTATAACGAATAGATTGGATGAAATTCACTGGAGAAGAGAATTGTGAAATAGCACGAAACAACTGAAAACTTCAGATGCTGAAAAGACATTTATGAGTAGGCCTAGACAAAAATCTACCATCTCTTTTTCTCTGCAGTATAACAAAACTTCTAGTTCCTAGATTTGTTTCTCATAATTGATAGAAGAATATATAGACAGGTAACAGTCATCGATAAAGCCTCACTCATTTTACAGAGTTATTTAGCCCTTGTTTGGGCTCCATTAAGCCAAAAATATATTTCTTCAAAACTCATTTTCAAGCACACATTCTTCAATAAAATAATATTACATGTAAACCCAAAACTTTACCTTACTTTTTAACCAAACATATTCCCAAAAAACTTACTATTCCAAAATACATTTTCCCAAAAACCTCATTAAAATGGAACCCAAACAAGGACTTAAGAAGTTATACCACAAATGCCCAGATCCTTTTAAAAATGTAGATAAACAATAACATTCAAATCATAACCACTTAGAAAAAAATGATAAAATGTGAAAGAAATCAGCATCAAATCGGACATATTAGAACGAATATGCACATTTTTCACTATCTTATACATGAAAAAAGAAAAAAAGGAAGTGAGCTTCAACACAAAGTGAAATGCTAGAAATACAACCCTGTGGCGTAACATAATTGGTGAAACTACAGCTCAAAATACTAGTCGCACTTTTTTTGTTTCGTGTAAAGCTGTGTTTCAACCCACAATGTCTTTCCAACATTCATATTGCGTAAGAACCTTGTGTAACTACAATTCTACAAGACAATATTACCTGTGGATCAGGGGCTGCCACAGGAGCAGAATCCACAATACAGCCCTTAATCCTTTCTGTTAATGTAGAATCCTTCTTCTGAAACTTTTCCAAAATGACTCCGTAACTACAGAGAAATTAAGAAACTCATCAAACATAATAGTGAGTAAAAGCTTCATCTTTTTTCTCTCTTTCTTTCTTGAGATTAAGGAATTACATCAAAGTTCTAAATGAACTGAAGCACAAAAACTTACATTAGCCATCCTGTATTGCTAAATGTATGGAAAACCAAATTCTTTCCGTGCTCTTCTTCCAGCCATTCTTCGAGATGGTTCACAAGCAATTCTATATCCTCCTCAGCTTTCCCCCCAACTTGATAGCTGAGAATTTCATTCATTGGGAAAGTAAATGTAATGGCATGAAACCCTCTTGAGGTATACCATTCCGCATATCTCTTGAGATGCTTCTGCTTTGCGCCTAACCATCCAAGCAAAACCACAACAGTCCTAGATTTTGCTGATGAACAATCAGAAACACCAGACACATTGATGGTGTTTGGCTCTGGCAAATGCCATCTATATAAAACATCTGATGTCGATGGAGGAATATTATATGAAGAGGACACTGGTTTGGCAGTTTTTGCTAACTCAGCAGACTGATACAAATTGAGCAAAACAGGAGAAGACACCATAGAACAACAATTTGGTCCAGTTTTAGGAAATGATATTCTTACATTAGGCAAAGGAGTGCGAATTCTGGTGATGAAAGACAAATCTGTTAACTTGGAAAAAGATGTCCTGGACACCCAAGATGAACTTGTTTCTTGTAATGACTTAGAAAATGAAGGATTTGATTGTTCCAAGGAATAACAAGTCTCTGATGAACTGGAAGGCCGCAGTTTATCGTGAAAATCAGCAGAAACAGAGGCTATTGCAACTGCAGAGGCCGCAACTACCGGCCTCTGAAAGATTCCAGAAAAGGAAGCCATATGACAACTAGTTGAAGCTCAAGTAATGTGTCAAAGAATTATCGTCTACCCACAAAGCCTAGAAATAGAATTTGCATCCACCTGCATAAAGTGAAGGGTAAAAACTGAAATTGATTAAAACAATTGACACGTGAATTTGATTTTAAAAACTAATCTTCGACGCACAACCTACCGGTTTATGGGTACACGTTTTGTGTTGAAGAATTCAAAGTCAGGCTGTCTAATGAATTGACAGCCTGATCCCAGCAGCCAACCAAAAAAGAAATCCCTTTACAGAGTCAAACCTTTTCCCCAACGCGTCCTGTAATTAAATGAATATTCAACCCAGCAAAATCAATTAATTAACAATACATAAAAGAATTAACAAGATAAAAAATTATAAGTGGTACGATGCTAATGCCTGAGCCAATATGGTCACAACACGTGAATCATGATCATTTCTTAAAACATCATAATCATTTTTAATTTATAAGCTTATTTTCCATGTGAGGTTTAAAATTACCCAAAAATTAACACAGCCCCAGATATTAATAAGACGAGTTTGATGTGATATTTACCTCCAAAGTTTTAGGGTTCAACATATGAAATTGAAAAGGACAGTTGTCGACCCCTGGTTATAGGGTAAAGACATTAATGTCCCAAATTTCCACCTAATTTTGCAGAACGGGGTTGCTTTCAATTTCAGCTCGAATCATAATTTAGTTTTTTCGTTAAATTTTAAAAATCCTGAACGAAATTAAACAATTTGTTAAAGTGATTTTCATCAATGAAATAAGAGTAGATGATTAAAACATCACGAGAATAAACAATTAAAATGAAAGCACTGTTCAAATAAATTATTGGCAGAATTTATAATCTGGTCTAATAGGAGTAAAAATTCAGAATTTAACCTCGAAATTCTAGGGAGGAAAATGGGAAAAACGAAGGAGAAACAGAGAAATAAAAAAGAAAGTTAATGCATTAAAAACAGATTGTTTGTGTGTCGAATGGAAAAGAAGAACTGACCTCACAGATAGAAGAAACAGTAGAAGAACAAATTAAAATTGAACACATAGTATCTATTTCAAATCTCTAATGAAATTAAAGACGTGGTTAATGGAATGCACCAGTGGCATCCCATCAGATCGTTATCAAATTGACACATAAGAAAGCATCTTTCATTGCTAGTTAAAATTTGAAAAAGGTCTTTTGTTGTCAACTATACTTGGAAAAATGTCTTTCATTACTCACGAAACTTTGATGTGGCCGAATTTTGCTCACTAAACTAATAAAAATAATGTCGGCATATTGTTCGCTAAAAAATGTACAACACAAGTGCACGTGTGACGTACAAGTAATAAAGTTGACAAACTAGTCCGGACCGTTGATTCCACGGGGAATGATTATGATTACTCGATTACATAATAGCTAAATTTAATTTTAGTCACGAAACAAATAATAAATTTGAAATTTTCAAATGATGAAAATTAGGGCTATCCGTGGGTCGGTTCGGTTCGGTTCTGAAAAGAGCCGAACCGATCCAAAATTTTCGGGTATTTAGAAAATGGAACTGTTGGGTCTAAATATAATTCCGTTCGGTTCGATTCGATTCCGTACCATAATTAAATTTTTTAATATTTACAGCAACACTACATAAATATAACTAATGACATTTCATTCGTAACTTTTACAAATTAACGTAACCCAATTCAAAAACATATAAATAAATAACTGTCCAATAAAATGATTTGGGCTTTAAAATTAAAATTATGAAATAATCTGATTTATTTAATTAATTTGCTAATTTGTTTAGAAAAAAATAAAATAATTTAATTAATTCAATATAAAAAATAAAAAAAATTATTTAGTTTCGGTTCTTATTCAGCTCGGTTCGATTCGGGTTCGGTTCGGTCCGGTTCGATTCGGGACTTTTGGACACCCCTAATGAAAACAACTAAAAATTCTACAAAAATAACGAAAAGATTGAACAAAATTCAACCACATTAAAGTTTAGTAAGCAATCGAAAACATTAAACTATACTGAGCAATTGAAAACGTTTTTCAAAATTTAGTGAACAATGAATGATGCTTTCTTATGTGACAATTTGGTAACGGCATGACGGGCTCTCCACATGTGCATCATGTTAATCGCGTTACCAATTTCGTTAGAAATTTGAAACGGATGTTATGTTGTGAATAACATTAAACGTTTGAATAAGTTTAGTGATAAAAACTTGACATTTTAAATTTTAGCGAATCATTGAAAACATGAACATAAGTTCAATGATTATTGGGGCCATTAACTCCTCTCTCTCTAGCAAAAAATAAATTTTCGTTATTTAACCCTTGTTTAATGAAATTAAAATTAAGGTTAAAGTCAATAATTAAATTCAATAACATATTTCATAAAATTCAAAAAAATTCAACCACACATTTTATTTTATTTATTTTTGTCAAAATTTACCAAAAAAAATCATTTTAATCCTAATATTCCAATATATTGGAAAAGAGGTTTTATTTTGGCGCAGGTGAATATCATTGGAGGAATGGAATCGAGCGAAATGGAGGTGGAATAAACGAAATTCCCTTGAGGAATATATTTTGGAATATTCTACCAACTAGAAGGGATCGTGGCAATCACAATGGATTATGGAGCTCCATTCCGTTCAACTCTTTTCTTGTCCACACAAATATTTTACAAACTTTAATTTTAAAATTCATTACCCATGTAAAATCCTTGGTAACCAATGTCCACAAAAAAAAAAACAATCTAAAATTCGTACAAGTCTTTCCTAGTCATGATATTACTAGATATCTTCATTAACGATTATTCTAGTAGATTGACGAGATTGCACTACACCTCGTCTATCAACCCCAAAGTATACACATGAGGTCACCTATCCTCACGGGAAAGAAATGCAAAGTTTTTCTTCGTTGTTATGTTTTAACTTTCTATATGAATATTTGTGACCCGGCAATTTTAGAACGCAAACGTAGAGGTCACCTATCCTCATGATATTGCACTTGCTCATCTAACTCAAGCTCAAACCCTATAGCATAAAAAACTACATATAGGACCCTCTCCTCGAGGTTTCCCTGCTAATAAGAAAGACAAAAGACAGCCCCATTCTTGCGCCCAGGAGGTGTATCAGAGAGAGACGACCCACGTTCTCAGAGGGGCTCTATGCTTAATCGTAGCTTCTATACAGAATATCATTGCAAATCTATGCACCATCTACATGATCTTAGAGAGAATGTTTGTCTTGGCTTATTTCTGAGAAAGAAGCAAGAACACCACACTAATTTAGAAGCACCAAAACGACGACAAAAGAGTGAAACGAAGGATGATTTCACAACTATATCCTTGTATATCAAAGGACAAGATTAAATAAATGCACAGCATTTAAGGAACCAGCAACCAAGATTTGTCGTCATCACTTAGTGTGGTAGCTATTGTAGAATTAATCAAGAAATGGAATTGTGCCTTGCTTCTCTGCGTGTCATAATAGTAAAAATAAGGGCAAACGCATCACCCAGGAATCATATCGTTGAAAAATAAATATCACATTATTAAAATTCTAGGTAACATCAAACCATCGACTCACCAAAGTCGATACCCAATAACTCCAAGTCTGGAGATGTAAAATGTGTACTAGCAGCTAGGTCATTCAAATCCAAATGAATTTCTGTCGTATCGATAGTGATTCTGCATGGTACCACATTCTTGTCACCAATTAAGAGAGAACAGTTGCTATAAATACCTTCTTTGGGTGGAAGATTCAATAAACAAGACCTAGGTGCTGACAACCCCTTTCTATCACTAGTAACCTTTTCGTTGTTTTTAACCATCAACATGAGACGATGATGGCGTCCCAACAGCTCTGAGACATATTTCATGTCACCTTTGGAAAGTGCATGACGCACTCGAGTAGATGATACTTGGCCTTGCTCCTTTGAATTGCTAGAGTTAATGTTTCCAGAATCTTGATTCTTGTCCATGACGGGATTAATGATGTAAGCACCAATACCATACTCCTTGCATAATTGCACTAGGTCCGATGCATCACCAGCAGCTCTGTATCCAAAACGGTAGTTTTGACCTACCATATTAAAAATCATGCTCACCATCACATCATTGGAACTTAACAAAATTAAGAAGACAGAAAGGTAAGGCAATATTATACCTGCCACAACACCCTGAACTCTAAGCTCCTTTGCTAACTTCTCAACAAATTGTTTCGGAGTGAGACATCGAACTTTTGAAAACTCGACCTCGATTTCCCTGGGTACGACATTACCACAGTATGGAGCCCAAGAGGAAAGAACCCGTTCTCGGTCGCATTTGGCAACTATCGGTGCCCTATTTAAAGATAATATGAAAGAAGTCATAAACAACCTCTCAATCCATTTCTTAATATATTATCAGAACAAAATTTATGTACATACTAGTAAGTTAAATAAAATGGATAAACAATATAACCTAGATGTTAACCTATCTAAGATTTATTTGAATCAGCATTCAAGCACTTGACACATCTCGTTCTTCTACTAAATGAATTAAGAATTTGTACAAATACAGTGGAAAGATTCATAGTTTACGCAAAGGGTAATAAGCACACAACGTCCGTACCTTTCATTTTTTGGTATTTTCACCCTACTTCCATCTTTCATTGCTTAAAAAATCATTTTCATCCATTTTCTCAATTAAAAGCTGTGAAATAACGAATATACTCTTCTATTAAATAAAGAAAAAAGAAAAAAATGAACTAATTGCAACTATAGTCCCAATTTTATTTTATTTTATTTTAACAAATGTAAACGAATCCCAAATAAATTATTAAAAGAGTAATTAGCACATAATGTTCTTATTTTTCACTATTATTGTGAAAAACGTCCATACCTTTTATTTTTTTGACATTTTCACCCTTAATTACACTTTTGATTGCACAAACTATCATTTCCATCCAATATCTCAATAAAAAGTTGTGAAATGACGAATATATCATCTTATTTAAATAAAAAATAAAGAACTAATTGCAACCCTAGTCCCAATTTTTTTTAAAAAAGTGCAAATGAGTCCCAAATAGAGAATTGAAAAATTAGAAATTAATTTTTTTAAAAAAAGTACAAACGAGTCTCAAATAAACTATTTAAAAAAATCTTTATTTTTCCTTTTTTTTAATTAAAATAGGAGGGTGTATTCGTTATTTCACGGCTTTTATTAAGAAATTGGATAGAAATGATGATTTACGCAATCAAATATGTAATTAAAGGTGAAAATATCAAAAAATGAAAAGTATAGACGTTCTTCACAATAATAGTGAAATATAAGGACATTATGTGTTAATTACATTTTTAATAATTTATTTGGAACTCGTTTGCAATTTTTTAAAAAATATTGGGACTTGGTCGCAATTATTTATTTCTTTTTCTTTTTATTTTATTTAAATAGAAAGATCTATTCTTCATTTGAGAAAATTAATGAAAATAACATTTCGCGCAATGAAAAGTGGAAACAATGGTAAGAATGCTAAAAAATGAAAGATAATGACGTTTTTCACAATAATAGTAAAAGGTAGGGACGTTGTGTGCTAATTACCCTTTCCACAAATATTATGTTCATGTTCATAGCAAACCTTGAATTTCATCCCACGAAAGTATCATGCCAATATTTACACCCCCTTTCTAAGTAGTCTTAAAGTGTGGTAGTTAAGCAGGGTGTCATACAAAGCATCTGGCAAATCGCTTAATTATTTACTCCATTTGGAAAATACTAGTGAATTTATCATATTATGAATATTTTGCACATTCGTCAACGCTTCTCGACTAGATCATGATCATTTCTGCAGACGGTCTTGTATTAAGATAAAAGACTTAGGAGAGGTCAAGTGAGCAATCTAGAGTTACGGAAGATGTTATGCAAACCGATGTTGAAGAATGCCAGTCAAACAGATTCAAGGACAATCAAATTGAGAAGCAAAAACCAAGGAAAAAAGGGAGAAAAACAACAGTTGAGGCATATAAATTAATGAAATGCACCAGGAGAACATGTAAAGTTCAGATGGTCTTGATGTAGAGTGGAGAGATTCACTAGCATTTCTTTTTTCTCTTCTGTGCCTTATTTGCCTTCAAATATTTTATTTCACTAGAATAACAAAAGGGTTGAGAAGAAAGGGGCATTCCGTACCTAGGTTCCCACCCAAGTATCTCTGCCATTCCAACAAAGGATAAAAGAAATGGAACTCCAATTTTTGCTGCTTGGATTGCAAGTTCCCGATGACCAATATGAAGGGCATCAAACTTCCCCAAAGCTACTATCCCTCCTATTAGAAAGAAGAACCAATACATTATTCATCCAGATACGAAACTTAGTAAGTCATTTCAAAACAACATGTTTATATAATTCAAGACAAACTAAAAAAAAAATATTTTCAAAATATGGAGGTGAGTTACAGGACCATGACATATATACAGCAAATTAACAAGCAATATTTATCAGCAATCTGCGAAAGCCACAAACTTTCAATCACATTTTAATATTTTATAATGAATTATTTGGATTATCACCCCACACTTGATAAAATAAATAAATCAAGATATATTTATTAAGAAATGATAAGCACAATTTAAGTGTAATTAATTAATTAATTACATTTTCAATTTATTAAATAAATTAAAGAAGTAAATTCGTCAAGAAAATGATATAACAAAAGTAAAAGTTCTTACCAATTATATAGCCATTGTTTTGTACAGATGCTCTAAAATTCATTTTGCTCCAAATTTATTTTCAACCATACATTTTCACAATAAAATAATTTTGCACGTGGACCTATAACTTTTCATATTTCTTAACTACACACTCTTCAAAAAATTAACTTTTCACAAAATTTATTCTTATAAAATCTATATCAAAGGGCCCATAGTCAAATAGCATAGGAAGATTACATTTCATGACAAAGGATTGAAGAATATCAGATTTCTCAAGAGGTCAAGACTCTCGTCCAGCTCAAATAAAGAAGTTTTAGAAAGATTACAAATTTATGTAATAATTCCAAACAAAAAGTCTAATCTAGGTTAAAAGACCTAATAAACAAATCAGTTGTCACAGTACATACCTGCAGCTTTTAATATATCATATTTTGTACAATAGAGATGTTATCACATCCATATTCAATGCACAACCAATAATCAGTTTAACCAACAAACCAATCAGGCAACTGAGGAAACAAACCATTTTTAGTTTTTCTATTAAACAAAAAATGTACAAAAGATAGCATGTTTACTTGCCAGTTGTTGAAGATAATATTCAAATAATTTACATATGACCCTCATTAGTAGCTTAAACTTTTAGATGACATTGGTAACATGGTAAGCAAGGTTCAAGTCTTGATGCCACCCATTTAATGAAATTGCGTAAGTATCCGGCCTTGATGGAAAGAAATTAATATTTCTACACATGCGGGAACAGTTGAAGACAACATTTAAATGATATATACGTGGTCCTTTCTAATAACTTAAGGTTTTAGATAGAATGTTTAACACGAGTAATACTACATCAACCTCGTGTACACAGCAAGTCGGCACAATTTTTTTTTTTAAAGAAACAGCAGATTCTAAATTCCAGGAAAAGAGAACAGATTGTTATGTAAATTAAAATTAGTCGTAGTTCTAATCGGGTATAATTAGAGTTAACAAAATTGTCAAAATTTTGCAACTGATAGCTGCTACCAAAATTTAAGTAACAAGTCAACCAATAGTTTTTGAATGTGAGAATTTTATTCTCAAGCGCAGAAAATGTCATTTTCTGTAATACTTTTTAGTTATTGCTTCTCTCATGACTGAAAACGTTCCTATCAGTATATTGAAATATAGTTATTTCAGATAATACTTGTGTATAAGTGCTTGAATGAAGCAATTAAAACCAAACAAGAAGAGTTCAAATTGTTCTTTTTCAATATACACATTTGATTGTGACTGTGATTGGACTTTCACAACGTTAATGTCATCCATTGATGTTGGAAATAAACTATTTGCAATCTTAAATCTCAAGAATTTACACTTATACTATATTCTCCTTCCCCTTCCCCTTCCCCATGCCCTCTCCCCTGCACACTCCCAAAAAAAGAAGAGAAAAATCTGTGCATCTCACGAGTATGGAAAAAGAAAAAGTCAGATAAACAAATAATATTACATTTACAATGACTAACAAAGAGTCCATTGTCTCTCTACTTGCCCATCTATTTCTGAAAATTGCTATAAGATAGGATAGGCAGAAACACTGATATAATTGGATTTACAAACATATGTACTGAGCACACCAGCATCAAGAAGAAAAACAAAATGTATAGGTAAATGAGTTCAAAAAATAACCTGCTACAGAGGATAATCCTGCAGATGGAGGCACCTGGCCATCTTCCCTATTCATAAGTGAAAAGAACCACATTAAAACATTGAATTAGGTCTTACTGAAATATATATCGCAATTTGGCTAACGCTTTATTTTATGAAAGAAAATGTTAAAGCATAACAAACACATAAAAACATACATGTGCTGTTGAGGCTGTCTGAAAATAAATCAAATTGTTCAATAAACTACTTAAATCTTAATTTCAACCGGTTTGAACTGCTATTCAACATAATATAATCAGCTCACGAGCTAATATATTCTATAAAGTTCAATTCAACGAATGCCTTTTATTTTAAGGTATCAAATACAAAAAGATATATTCTTTATGGTGCTATATATCAATCCCAATCATCAAAACTATAAACAAGAATCCAGTGAACAGAAATTTAAATCAAACCCATGGAAAAATAAAAATATATTATATATACATACAAATAGAGAAGAATACCTCATAACGTCGGAGAGGAGGGAACTCGGAGCTGTATTTGTAACGCAATTGTCATTATTAACGAAAGAGACGCGGGTAAATTCATCATTATTACTGGTAGTAGAAGAATAGGAAGAATTGATGTTGAATAATCTTAATCTGAAAAACTTTTTGGAGGAGGGGGAAAAAGAGGAAGGCAATAAACCCAGAAATGGTTTTGTATAATTGGTATAAACCCCAAATTGGTAAGGACTGCAGTGGTAATCTCGCAAGTGCTGTGATATACCACGAGACCCACTCAACATTATTCACTAGTTTGGGTTGAAGAGGATGACATGATTTTGTGTGTGGCGGTTTTATGGCCGACTATTTGTACGATTTTTATCTTTATCCCTCCCCTGTTAAAAGAGGGAATCTCCATTTAGCCCCCCGTTTGACATTCATTTTTTATCTTATTCACATTTTCATTTTTTTACAGTACTCATTTCT